CACAGACAAGAGTCATGAGAGATGGCCCGTCGGGGCAGACAGCAGGGCAGCCACGAGCTGGCCTCGTGCCCCTTCCCCAGGGCACTGGTGGCCAGCACTTCCCAGTCCTCAGTTTAGAAGTCCCACTTCTGCATTCTTCCTGCAGCCTATGTGGCCCCGGGCCTGTGTGGGAAAGGCTTGGGGGAAGGCCCAGTTCCTCCATGGCGGGGAAGCTGGAGACCACAGCGGTCATGCATCTGGCCGAGAGGCTGCGCAGTGAAGGGCAGAGTGGATGGAGCTGGATTCAAAAGAAGCCTACAGGGCCAACAGGTGGCATAGTGGTTAAGGTGCTGGACTCCCCACGGCGACACAGTTCGAGACTCAGACTTGGCACTTGAAACTGGGCGCAAGTGCATGTAAGCCCAAAATACAAAGAGGAGAATGGATTGCAGCATGGCCATTCTCTCTGGGGGGGCTGATTTCTCACTTTTTCTCTGTCTCTGTCTCTCCAGCAAGTGCACATGCCCTATAGCAAAAATCTCTCTAAAAGAAATAAAAATAAAAATGAAACCTGGGCCAGCCTCAGTGGCACACGGGTTCAGTGCCACTGTGCCCCCACGGGACCTGCACAGGAGGGCAGGGTTCCGCTGGTGCTGGCCTGCACCTTCAGGGCATGTGTGTGATTCTAGCTGGCAGGAGGCTGGGGTGGGCGGGTGGCAGAGCAGGACCTTGCCAGAGGTCCACGTGTGAAACATATGAAAGAAACATAAACTGAAACATAAAACTAGAATGGGTTGAAAACATATACGATGCTCAGAGTGGAAAGGGATGAGGGATGGAGTCGCGGGTGGGCGCAGGGGTGTGTAAAGGGCAGAGCCGAGCGGGGGTGTGCAGTTTTAACCCTTCCACTTTCGCTGCTGGGAAAACCTTCTTTGTCCCTGCTGACGTGGCAGTGACCCTGGCGGGCTCACTGTGCTGAGCGTCCACGCAGACCTGAACCTGACTGTCACAGGGTGGGACTGAGGTCTCCACAGACGAGAGGCCTGGGGCACCCAGGTCACTTCTTCCTGGGCCAGGCTCCGTCAACAAATGCTGCGCCAGGCAGGGCAGGGGGTGGGAGTGGACGAGATGATGATGGCCCAGCAAGGGATATCACACTCAGCTTCCTCCCAGGCTGACCAGGCTGACAGGGAGCGGCCCTCCCCGCCCCCACCCCCGGCCGCAGTGCTGTTGGACAGCAGGTGGGGGGGACAGAGAGGCGTCTCGGTTCACGCCTCGCCTTGGTTGTCAGCAGCCACATCCTGTCCTCCGTGCACACAAACCAACCGTGGGGGTGGGGGTGCACATCGTAAAGAAGTAAACCTCTCCCCAGACACCAGGGCCTGCCCTGCCTCTGTCATTAGGCCTCGTGAAGGGTGAGTGGCCACCCACGCCACATGTGACAACCTAGCTGTAACACGACCTGTAGGGAGCCCTCATGCAGCACTGCAGCACCGCAGAGGACCAGCCCAGGCCTGTGCCGTGGCCCACAACCACACGCATGGGCTGTGCAGAGACTGCTCCCACGGGGAAAGGGGGCAGGTGCAGGAGACTACCAGCCAAGAGGGGGTAGCTCTGGGACCCTGGCAGGAGACCTTGCATCCCAGTCAGCCAGCCTGGGGGCCTCAGCACGGGGGAGGCAAGGGGTGCCGTGGGGATGAGTCTTCCTTTCACAGTACTGGGGAGAGCCTGGGGGAGTGAGGTAGGAGGGGTGGGAGGGGCGCAGCAGGCTTCAGGTCTCCTGCCTCTTATCTCAGGGACCCTCCCACCTGCTGTGAGGCCAGGAGGCCAGGGAGCACCTCCTGAGCCCAACTTCTGCAGGGGCCTCAACCCCACCTACTGACCTAGGACACCCCATTCCCTGGTGGAAGCATCCAGTCCAGGCTGGAGGCAGAAGTCCTGCCCACTTGCAGCCCCCCAGGGCCACTGGGCACTGGCCCCCAACCCACCCTGCCCCAAGCTCCAGGCGACCCCATTCTGGGTGCACTGCCTTTTTCGCTAGTGCAAGTAACCTTAGAGGAGATGAGAAGGGCCTGCCCACCACACGGCAGGAAAGCAGGGTTCTGCTGACCTAGGAAGATCTCAGGTTAGGGGAGCCTTCCTGCCCTGCCTGGTGGAACGGGAACCGGCTGGCTGGGCCTGGTAGATGGCAATGTACTAGTCTCTGTTTCTCTCATAGAAAAGATGACAAAATGAATTTGTTTTGAGAGAGAAAAAAACAATAGGAAAAAGCCAAGTGAATGGATTTGATACAAACAAGATGCAAACTACAAAGCAGTGGCCCAGTCAAGCCCTTCTGGCCCAGAGGAGGATGGGAGGAAGCCCACCCCAGGGCCTGCATTTCCACCCCCCAGGCCTCAGCGTCTGTCTGCTGGTTCCCTGGCTCTCCCGTACCTAAGGCAGCAGGCCTGCCTGGGTGAGTGCCGCCCTCCCGGCTGGCACCTCCCCGAACCCGCACGGTGGGGTCTGAGAACATCCCTGCTTGTTAATCTTTTATCTGAAACCTTGGACCATGGGCAGCCTTTCTGCCCTCCTTTCTGGATCCCACACAGCCCCCACGCCCTCACCCGCCTCCCAGGGCCCAGGTAGATGCTTCCCTTTTATGCTGGCAAGGCACCTCCTACCTCTCCCATACTGAGGCCCCCAGGCTGGCCAGATGCAGGGTCTCATGCCAGGGTCAGCACCAGCCTGCACTCAGAGCTGCCCCCTCCTCACTGGCAGTCTCCTGTACCTGCCCCTTCACCCCCGAGGGGAGCAGCCTCTGCACAGCCCGGTGTAGACGTGGGCCTGGTGTGAGCTTGGGCTGGTCTTCAAAGTGTCTGTACTCTCACTGACGTCTGTGGTGCTGCTTGTGGTGTGGGAGAGGGGCAGGGAGGGAGAGAGGCAGCCCAGCCTGGGTCCCCACCTGCCAGACTTCACTCTGGGTCTCAGCTTCTCCAAAGGAGGAGTAAAAGCTCTAAAAGGGGAACCCTGAGACCTGGGCAGCTGAATGGCAGATGGCCTCGCAGCAGCCTGGGGCCCTGTGCCCTCGGTCCCCACCCTGTCTGCACCCACCTCCTGACATTTGGCCTCAGAGCTGCAGCTCCCTCCAGAGCAAAACTGGGCTAATTCCAGCAGCGGGAGGGTGAGCCTCCGAATCCCTAGGGTAGTGTGGAGGCTTCAGAGCCCTGGGCCTCTTGACCAGCAGATCTGCCAGCACTCTGGCAAGAGGCTATGGCCAGGCCTCAAAGGGCATGCACGACTCACACCGGCTCCCGCTGGGCCTTGATTTCTTGTCTGTAAACTGGGCACTGCCAGTTCTGTGGTGGGGCTGCAGGGGTGAGCCAAGTGGATGCCCACGGAGCTCACATATCCATTGGGCCGCTGGATGCCCCTGTTTCCCAGGCCCTTCCTCCAAGGTCCCTCACAGGGATGCCAGAGGTCACCTCCAGTCGCTGGAGCCCCGTGTTCCTGGACAATCTCCCAGATCAGGGAGTGCAGGAGCTGCTCTGGGGGAAGGCCAGGCCAGGCGTTCCACACACGCACTAGCTACTCCCACTCTGGGCCAGCCTCCCCACCCCAGGAGTGACCACCGGGGCCCCTGGGGTGCACGTCCCACTGAGCAAGCAGTGGAAACAGCCCCATTTCACGGATGGTAGGGGAATACACACCCAGTTGGTAGGTTTAGGCAGCGCCAACCTGTCTCCAAAGACCCCTGGCTCCATTCCTCCACTTCACAGCCCCGTTTCACAGCACCAGGGACTGAGGCCCGTGGCAGGCAGACTAGAGCATCTAGATGGTGGCATCACCTGTGGCAGATGCGGGCCCTCCTGGACTCCACCTGGAAGTCTGCAGGCCTGGGGCCAGGTGTCCACCACTTAGCAAAGTGGGCAACTGAGGCACAGGGTGGAGAGGCTTACCCCTCCCTGATCAGGAGAGACCCTAACCCCAACTCCAACGAGGGGCCCATTGCCTGGGACTCCCAGGGCACGTGTCTGAGAGGAGACTGAGCTGCTGGACAGGAGCGGAGCTGGGGCCAGGCACTAGCACCCCACTTCCCAAGCTGTTATGCAAACAGACTAGGGGGCTCATGTGTGACCCCTGGGCAGTACCAGACCCAAGGCAGGCCTCCTCAGAGACCCCACCACAAAATTAGGGACTCTGGCATTAGGTTGGGGGTGTCAGCAAATAACCAAACTCATGGGGACCTGGCAGGTAGCAGCCCACTCCCGAGCCTTCACTCAGCTTCCCCACCGGCGGAGAGAGCCAGCCCTTCCCCTGCCCCTTCTTTAGGCCTCAACTTCCTCTAGTGCCCAGAGCCTCAACTCGGCACCGCCCTGAGCTCCCAGGACCCTCTGGCGATCCCTGGAGGGCTGCCAGGAAGCCAGCTTGCAGGACCTGAGGTACAGGGTTCCGATTTGGGTTAGACTTCAGAAGCGCTCAAGTCCAACCTGGACCCTTGCGGAAACCCCTTCCGCACATTCTTGACACCAAACACGTCAAATAAAATAACGGCCAGCCTTGGGTCCTTCCAGAGACCTCTGAGCCGGGAGGGTCGAAGCCAGTCCCAGCCCGGTGACCTTGGGGAGACGCCCCCCTCGAAAAGGCTGTTTCCCCACCTGTAAAGGGGGCTGAGGCGTCACCAAGGAACCCCAAAGACGACAACTCTTTCCAGCGCGAAGCAGCCCCCAGCTGGCCCCTCTTACCCCAGCGGGCGGACCACGCGCCCACAGGTGAGGTCGGCTGGGGCTCAGGAGGAGGGGTGCGGCCGGGGCAGCGGGCCCCGCGGGGTGGGAGGCCGTGTCCGCCGGTTTTTTTTTCCGGCGTGGGGCGGCCCCCCGGGAATGGAGGCGGACCCCGGTCCGGCAGCTGTGCGCCGCCGCCTAGCTTCGGACGCTCGCCCGCTTCGATTCCACCTCGGGTGGTGAGGCCGTCAGGGCCCCCGCCCCGGCTTCCTAGTCTTTGAAATGGACGCAGGGCCCCGCGCGCGGCCCGGCCCTCACCTGTGCTGTTCCCCGGGGCGGCCGTGGTGACCCCAGCCCGCCCGCGGGGCCTCTTCGCTCTGCCGCGGAGGGTCGCGGCCGCCCAGCGCATCCTGCGCGCTCCACGGCTCCCGGGCCGACCTGGCGGGACCGGGGGCGGGGCAAACTGGG